ATTTAGACATGTATTTGTATAAAATCCCCTCACACAAACTTTTGGTTGCTCACTCATTTTCTGTCCCTTTTTTCATCTATCATGAAGCCTTTTTTCAATATTTCAAGATTCAATGGGTTGTTACATTCTCTAAACAGAGTTCGAGTTCACCCCATTTTGAATCAGAGGTCTCGTTATTTGTCCCAAATTAGTCATGAGAATGTCGAAACTCACCCATGGGAATCCATGGAGGGACTAATGAGGTGTTCAGCTAATTATTTCCCTTTAACACCCATTAGTTTCTTGGACAGAGCTGCTAAGGTTTTTAGCGACAGAACATCAGTTGTGTATGGTTCTTCTGTTAAATTCACTTGGGAAGAGACTCAAAATAGGTGTCTAAAGATGGCTTCTGCTCTGTCCCAATTGGGTATTTCTCGTGGAGATGTTGTAAGTTTAATTTCTCCTTACTCAAAAGATTTCCGCTTTAGAATAGTATGTCTAAACGCATGGTTAATAGTGTATATATTATAGCAATTTTGAACTCTTTACTATGCATTTTCTTATCAAAAGAAGTTGTTTTCTCATGGTTTGTTAGTGTAAATGATTGAATAGGTTGCAACACTGGCCCCTAATGTACCTGCAGTGCAAGAGTTGCATTTCGCGGTGCCAATGGCAGGAGCAGTGCTTTGTACGTTGAATACACGTCATGATTCAGCTATGGTATCAGTTCTCCTGAGGCATTCAGAAGCTAAGATCATTTTCGTTGATCAGCAGTTGTTTGAAGTTGCTCAAGGAGCACTGGATCTTCTTGCAGATGCTAAAACAAAACCTCTTTTAATATTAATCCCTGATCCTGAAAACCTCCCGCCTCCTGTTGCTGCTCCAAATGTTCATGAATATGAAACTCTTCTTGCAAGTGGACGCGATGATTTTGCTATAAAGTGGCCGTTAACTGAATTTGACCCTATTAGTGTCAACTATACTTCTGGGACAACGTCACATCCTAAAGGAGTCGTTTACAATCATAGAGGTGCATATCTCAATGCTATTGCAACTCCTTATACTCATGAGATGGGATCTATGCCTACTTATCTTTGGACTGTTCCAATGTTTCACTGTAATGGATGGAGCCTTACTTGGGGCGTGGCTGCACTTGGTGGCACGAATGTTTGCCTAAGACGTGTCTCTCCGAAGGAAATTTTTGAGAATATATCCCTCCACAAGGTCACACATATGAGTGCTGCACCAACGGTCATGAATATGATTGTAAATTCACCAAAAAGTGACCGCAAACCACTTCCTCACAAGGTTGAAATAACGACAGGTGGTTCACCACCGCCTCCTCATATCATTTCCAAGATGGAGGAGTTAGGCTTTTCAGTATCTCATATATATGGTCTCACAGAGATTCATGGTCCCTGCATGTCTTGCCTCCATCAGCCAGAGTGGGAATCATTACCTCCTGATGAGCGATTTGCTCTGAAAGCAAGACAAGGTGTGGAGCACTTTTTTACACAGGGAATTGACATAAGAGATCCTGACACAATGGAGAGGGTACTGGATGATGGAAAGACCCTTGGTGAAATTATGATTAAAGGGAACACTGTGATGAGTGGATACTTAAAAAATGTTAAAGCAACAGAAGAAGCGTTCAGAGGTGGATGGTTTCATACTGGCGATCTTGCTGTGAGACATCCAGATGGCTACATAGAAGTTAAGGACCGGATGAAGGACATTATAATATCTGGAGGTGAAAATATTTGCTCGGTTGAGGTGGAAAGAGTTTTGGTCAGTCATCCCGCAGTCTTTGAAGCAGCTGTAGTAGCAAGACCAGATGATCACTGGGGGCAGACACCTTGTGCTTTCGTGAAGTTGAAGGAGGGATTTAGTCTTGGCTCTGAAGATATAATCAACTTTTGTCGCGATCATTTGCCTCATTATATGGCTCCCCGGACAGTCATATTTGAAGATCTACCAACAACTTCTACGGGCAAGATACAAAAGTTTGTCCTAAGGGAAAAAGCAAAAGCCTTAGGCAGTCTTTGTCAAATCAAAAGAGAGATTGCAGTCTGAAGAGTACTTGAGACTAAAGCCTTATTCTTGTAATAGTTGTTTAGAAATTTCCAACATTAAGTCTTGGCTCTTCTGTTTGTAATCTTCTTATGTTTGAGGTCTTACATAACGAACGAAGCTTTCTATGAATAAAAAAGGCTCAAGCATTGTCAGTGTGTACATTTGATTAACTTGACAAACATGTATAGACCATCGAAAACAGAGAATTGGAACAACATTTACTGTATTTGTGTAGCTTATTGCTTAAAAGAGTTAAAAGGGCTGGCACATACACATAAAGCAGAATTGACAAACAAATTGCTGCAAAAATTGTGCAGATGCAGACAAGAAAGAGTAATCAAATAGTAGTAGATACAAAAGAATTAAAATTATATAAAGCATATCAATGGATACCAAACGTGAAATTGAATGAGGAAGGACACTTATGTCTTTCATCCATAGATTCAAACACTGCAAATTAAAGCCTAAACATATCGCGATATGCTCACTAAACTAAAACTAACTAGTCAAAAGGGGCATATTATCAGTAGAAATATTTGCTATTTTTTGAAAAGGACCAACGACACATAGGGCATCGGTGGTTTATCTCCAGCCATTTGATGATACAATGTAAGTGAAAAGAATGCCAGCACGGTAAGATTGCTATGGTCTCTCCAATTGAAGGATCCTTGATACAGATGGAACACATAGGATGTACTGGATCACCATGTTTTAAAGTCCATCTATACAATATTTCAAAGGAGAATGGATTTACACCTCTGTTTGTCGGATTAGGAGGAGGAACAATGGGAGGAAGACGAAACTCCGTGTTGGTATTGACAAGAACACGAGCACGAACAGTACTAATATCTTCACCATCTTGTTGGACATAAATAATAGTAAACGACATTACTATAGGCACAATTTTACAACCACTATTTTGAGGATCATTTATCTGTGATGTAGCAAAAGTTGAAACCTGTTCAGCTACATCAGAAGCAGAGTCTTCACAGATACCTAACATATTGCAAATTACTCGTGCCTTAATTCTGCAATGTGTCAAAAAATCAAATTTAAATACATACGGTTTCACCGCGGACTCGATCAGTTCACGTGAACAATCATCACCAACTTTTTCTTCATCATCATCATCGTTGTCAATTTTTTCGAGTATATAATCAACTTCACATTCGATGTAGAATACGTTTTCACCACAACCGGACCAATCCCACTTATTCATGATATTGTCGTCCCGATAAATGTCTAGTTCATAACGGTCACAAAAGCTACAATTATTTTGTACTGGGAGAGACATATCTAACAACTTGTGGAATTATACAAGAAAATTACAGTAGAGCAAGAAGGAAGATAAAATAAGACAAGAACAAGTACTAATTTTAATAAGAAGGGATTAATATAGGTTTGAATTACTATGATTAGGTTAATGAGGTTTTCCCACTACAAGTTGAACTCGGTAATAGTATTCCTATATGGTCAAGGAAAATAGATTTTCAGATATAATAATAATAGAAAAATATTCCGTGCATCTGTCGGTTCGGTTCGGTTTTATGTAATATCGGTTTGGTTTATTGGTTTTCAGTTTTTAAATATGTTAAACCAATAAGATATTTCTTATTGGTTTTGGTCCTTAACGGTTCAGTTTTCGGTTTAACCAATAAGAAAATACCTATAAAACAAATATATGACTTTTCTAATAAATTTGATGCGAAAACACAATAATGTAACTTTACAAATGCTCATAAAATAAAAACAATAATAATAAACATGAAAAGAACTATACAAGCGTAACACAAAGAGAAATTAAGAGGAATAGGGTTCTTATTTTAGATTTTTAACATTATTTATAATGTGAAATTGTGAACTCAAAGTCACTGTGAAATGTGAATTGAAGGCTAAAGGACAAAGATAGTGACTACTAAGGTATTGAGATTAATATATAATATTTATGTACAAGTAAAGTAGTAAATTACTAGTCGTAATGGGTTATTGGTTTACCCAATCACCCAATATTAAAAATCAATACCGAACCGATAACCCAATAATTTTTTTTATAAAACCATTAAAAAACCGTTAACCCAATAACAATAAACCAATAGCACTTTTATCGGTTCGGTTAATCGGTCGGTTCAATTTTTGCACACCCCTACCTCTAGGTGTGTCATCTTTTAGGATTTTCAGATTTTGAGTTTCAAACAAATCTATTTTTTACTGCAATTTTTTTCATGTATCATTTAAATTGTCAATTATTATGATTTATAGTATTTTTTAATTTATACTTTAATTTTCAAATATATAAATTTTATTTCAAAACTTGTCATAATAAATTGAGACAAAGAGAATAGCTATTAATTAGTTTAGTGATCATATGGAAAATCAATTCTCAAAGATTTGCGAATCCTTCCATTAAAAAAGGAAAAAAATCAGATTTGGCGCCGTACGATCTGAAATTTAGCAATTTTGTCATATGTGTAACTCTTGCTTTAATATCTCACTTCGTCATTAGGAAGATATTTTGTTTTTGCCCTTTATGGAGTTCCAATGTAAGGATAATTTTAAAATATAGTTAAAATTGAGGGGTAAATTTGAATATGTGGAGTCCATTTATTTCATTGCTGAAACTTGTTAATGAGAGGACATGATTTATTTACTCTAAGTAGATTTAACATAATTTGAGAAATTTTTATGTAGCAAAGTAGATTATATAACTTACATGTTTAAATGTAATAAAATTATTTTTAATACTTAGTAGTATATTAATTTATAATATATTGCTATTATAATATTGAAAATATGAATATTTTAAAAAATATTGATGGATCTTTTTTTTTTTTTTAAATCAAAGGTGTAAAAAAGAATTTCAATAAAAATGTTTATCCTAGAATTAAATGCATACAAAACTTAGATCATGATTTAGTTGCATATGCTGACTCTTGTTATTTATAATATACAAATTAAAAAGAAAACACTTGCACATCTTATATAGTGGAAATCTTATGCAAAATTTAACGACTCTAGTTGTACAAACAAATACACCCATTATTTTTTGAAATCAAACACTTACATTTCTATACTAGGAAAATGGTCATGATCATCTTTGTTTATGAAGTTTGAACTGCAGGATTTTGTTTGAGATTGAGGCGTAGTATGTACGGAGACTTAATAGAGCCACAGTACAAATGATCACCAATTTTAATGCCACTTGACACCATTGTCAAATCCTCATCATAATAGTGTTCCAGTGGATTTCCTTGTAAATCAACAGATAAAACACCACCATTTTTCTCTGCCTTTGGTTGTCCAACATACTTCACCATTATAGCCATTATCTTTCTGATGAATGGATACCTTAGTGTCAAGTCCCATGAATATGTCTTTTCCTGTCAAGTTATCAGAAACAAAATATGAGAGAGCAGCGTAACTTAAAGGTTGAACATATCAAGTTTAAAATATCATGAAGAAACTCACCGAGGCGAATGCAATCCAATAATGTCCTTCACCATCATAACGAATGTTGTCAGGAAATCCAGGTAAATTATCAACAAACATATCCACAGATCCTTTTTTTTCGCCTTTTATGTAATACTTTTTGCATTTCCTCCTACAAAAAAAGATGGAAAATGAGAAATACTCTTGTACGTACGTATCTGCTAAGGAAATTAAAAATATGAAAGAGTACTTACAGAGGTGTTTCACAGAAAATAACATAATTTTGATCTGGAGAGACTGCAACACCATTAGCAAAATACAGATCGCTAAGTAGCGTTTTGGTCTGTTTAGTTGATGGATCATAACTTAACAATCTTCCATTGGGTCTTCCTTCAAGAATATCATAAATGTACTGTTCGATATTATATTTGTAAGAAGCATCGGAGAAATATATAATTCCATCCTCTGCAACGTCTACAGCGTCTGCTAATTTGAATTTCAGGCCTTCAGCTTCCTCTGTTAGCACTTTAATCTCACCCACTGAAGTAACGTTCAGTAGTAACCCCTGTCACATTTCATTCTAAACAATTATACAGAGGAATTAACATATCTTCCTTTCAGATCTCACCGTTATTACTCTAAAATGGTGTGATTTTTGTACTTTCCGATGTAATCATATCCAGCAAAACAAAATAGTCCTGCGTGCAATTCACGTGTGTTTGGCGCGGAGTTTCTAATTTTTTAATGTTTGGTTAGTAAGTTATCTTATAGGTCTATTAAGTTACCCTCTCAATTAATTCAATCTCTTTGTCCTAATTTATTAAATATATACTTTCCGATGGGGTTTCTAGGGGTGAAAATGAAATTTTGAAATTGAAAATATTTTTTAAAAATAAACTTAAATTTTTTGTGGGGGCGGGTTGGCGGGGTGGGTAGGGGGAGCTGGGTAGGAGGTGGGTGGGGGGAGGGTCAAGGGTAGGGTGAAAAAATGAAATTTTGAATTTGTAAATATTTTCTAAAAACAAACTCAATTTTTTTTTGGAGGAGGGGGTGGGTGATTGAGGATCGGGATGAAAAAATAAAATTAATTTTCAAGTTGAAAATATTTTTTAAAAATAAACTTAAATTTTTTTCTTTTTGAAAGGGGTTGGGGGCTGATAGGGGGTTGATGGGAGGGAAAGGGGGGGGGCGCGAGGGCGAGGGTAGTGGGTGGGGGTAAAAAAATAAAAAAATTGAAATTAGAAATATCTTTTAAAAATAATTTTTAATATTTTTTTGGGAGGGGGTGGGGTAGGGGTGAGGTAAAAAAATTGAATTTAAAAACAAGCTTTAAAATTATTATTTTTTTGGGGTGATTTGAGGATAGGAATAAAATAAATTGATTTTTTCAACAAAAAAATAATTCCTTAAATTTGAGAAAAATAAGTTGATTTGAAAAACATTTTCCAAAACATTTAACCCGACCAAACATGCGAAAAATGTTTTCCTTTGTACCAAACATACCCTTAATATTTCCAGTTTATGATCATGTACCAAATATAAGAATATTTGAACCATTTATGTAACGAAAATATCACACCTTTTCCCTTTATTAATAAACAACTCAGCAAATTTCTAGGGACACAAATTTTTTTTTCCCCTAAAAATAAAAAAAGAGGACCACAACAACTGACCTTGTCCGCATCTGCAACAATAACTTCGCCGTGACGTCCTAAAGCAAGTCCGAGAGGTCTGCCGCCGGTGAAAACCCAATCCTCCACCGTCGAATCTGCCGCCGATTCGTTCACTTTCACTTTTTTAACCCACCCATCAACGCATCCAGTGTATATAACTCCGGATTTTTGATCGTACGCTACGTCTTCGGGTGATAACAGCTGGTTAACTCCGATTTTTTCCGAGCGACGGAGCATCTGATTATTGCGCTTTGGTGCAACAATGGGCGGGTCAGTAGAGAGCACATGGGTCGGATAAGAAGCCGGGTCGAAGGAATCCAGTTGATAGAAAACCGTTCCGAGAATAACGGGTATTATTACTGAAATAAAAATTGGCTTTAGAAAGATGAGCGGAGAACTCATATTTGCAGTTGTTGTTGAAGAAGAAGAAGAAGAAGAAGTTGGGCTTGACTGGTTACTGTGAATAGCAGAGCAGATGAAGGATTAACATTGAGATATTATCAAATCGTCAGCAAAGAAGAAGGTATGTGAGAGAATTAGTTGACTCGTATTCCTCTTTGTTTGCATTCTTATTATACCAAGATGTGGCTTCTATCTACTACTCCATTTGTTTCTATCATTGTGGCGTAACTACTATGACAAAGTCACAATTTCCAAGAAAGGAACAGATTAAAGGCCTAAATTTATCGTGAATTATTAATTTCATTTTTAAATTATTGATAGTTCTAAAAATATCATTACTAAATTTAAACACACCTCCAATCTTGAGTGAATTACACTTTTAAATTATCGCCTTATTTAGAACTCTATTTTTATTAAGAACATGATGCTCTTACAAAAGTTTGAAATCACTTACTATATTATGTGACAAATTAAGGTGTATCTTAATTTAGTTAGTCAAGTAAAAATGTGTTGTCTTAAGTTTATGGATATTTTTAATACTTTTCTAAAAAGAAAGAAAGTCGTATCTAAAATTTGGAGTAAATTTATCATAAAAATTTAAAGTTAATGAGTTTTTAAATTTTAGTCATTTGGAGTCATTCTGAACCCTACCTTATACTCTTTCTATGGCTAATTATTTGTCCACTTTTGAATCGACACACCTATTAAAAAAATAATTATTGACATAATGAATTTATCATTTTATCCCTATTAATTATGAAGTGGATGAATTAAAAAACTTAAGATTAATTAAGGATATAATAGGTAAAAAAAATTATCCTTTCTTGATTTGTCAAAATTGACAAGTATTTAGGAACAACTAAAAAGTGAAAAATGAACAAATAATTAGGGAAAGAGGGAGAGGGAGTACTTTACTTTGCCTCTCATTTATAGTCTCACACTTATCATTAAAAATAATAGAAGTATATTTTAAAGTTAAAATAAAAAAGTTTAAATTTAATAATCTCTAAATATAACAATATATCATTTTTCATGAAATAATTAAACAAAAATTTTTTTATGCTAAATTACTTTCAAATATAAAAAAATGAATGGCTAATAAAAATAATGATGACGTATAAAATTTAATGACTGAATTAATAAATTGACTATCCTAGTATGTTGAAAAATTCTTGGCCGTATAGGCCGGCTTCGCAATTCGCACACCCCGAATTATTTATTCTTTACAAAGCTACTTGCATATAATGATAGAGTGGGTAAGTAAATCATTTACTAAAGTTATTTATATTAATAAAAGTTATTTACGTTTAATCATTTCATTTTAATTTACACAATACTACTATTAAACAATAAGTAGTAAAGTAAATTATTAATGACATGTTGATTGATAGAAATAAGTTAGGCCTGAAGTTGGTTTGTTTTAACATAGTATTAGATGTCGATTATATTGTAGATTTATTATTGGTTTACCCTTGCAATAAGGTTGAATTCAGATTACATATGTTTGCACAGGTATAATAATGTTTCTAAATCAATCATTACCTCAAATACATAAATAATAACGAGCGATGAATGTTAAATAATTCAACAAGTCATACATCAATTAAACATGACATTTTGTAATGTATAGAGATAATTTTATAAACCTGCCTCAATTTAAACGAAGCCAGACTTGAGAGTAGGTTTGTGAAATTATTTCTTTAATTTTTTATTTGTGTTTTGTGTAGAATAGCTTTGTGGGTAAACATATTTCATCTGAATGATATTATTGATATAAAATAATTATCAATAATTGGACGATCATAAATGTTCATTCTAATAATGCTAATTACTTGACGATATTTTTCTTTTCTTTTTCTGTCAAAAATGAGATACTCCATACCTAATAATTGCCTTCATGTCTCTCTTGATGAGAATTTAATCGCTTGGAAAATGAATTGTAAAGTAGTCAATTTAGGACAATTTCCTGCCCTTATATAGGAAAATTTAAAAAATGATAAATAAAGTTTTGCAAACAATAATTGTCCCAAAGTACTAAATATATAGTCTAACGTGTTTAAGACGAAAGGTAAACACTTGAAGCTTATCATTATTAAATGTGGCCTAATTAATCAGAAATTTGTGCAATCCATATCAATGGATTTTTCTTTCTACTAAAAACTGTTTTATTTTTAGAAAGTGAGGTGTTTGATCAAATTTTAGAGAAGAAATTAAATATTTCTCAAGAGTCACAAAAGTTGCTTTTTTAAAGACTAGAATATTAAACTTGAAAATTAATAGAAACGGTCTGCATGCATTGGGCTTATGATTTTATAAAGAGACTCTTTTATAAATACTAGTAAAGATGTACTTGATGATAAAGAAATGGTTGTTCGGTGGTCTTGATGCTTTATTGAATAACAAGCAAGGAGAGTCCCTAAAAACATTTTTCTGAAAAGTACTTTTAAGAAGAAAAGGATACTTTAAAATAAGTTGATTTAAGAAGTTTGACCAAATAAATTATAAAACGATAAGAAATACTAGTGAGGAAGATCTATATATATAAGGGCACTAAAGAATTTCTATTTGGCTTAACTCTTCCTCCCAATATCTATGGGCTTTAAATTTTGGGAAAATTATGTGAAATGACAAACATCTAGAGTATATTATGTAATATAGTTATAGTTTCGATTATTTTTAATTTGTGGATACAATTTGGTGAAATTTTGCTATTCGGTTTCATAATTGTATAAATTCTGAATTTGTATAATTTGATTTTTAATTGTATAAATTCTGAATTTGTATAATTTGATTTTTAATTGTATAAATTCAAAATTTGTATATTTCGGTTCCTGATTGTATAAATCCAGAATTTGTATATACTTACCCTAACTATTTGTATATGCTTTATGAAAAATTCATAATAAATTACTATGTTTGTGTATTGGCAAATGAAATATACAAACGGAGTTCTCAAAAATTTCTAAATGTAGAAATACAGAATTTGTATATACTTAATTTGTTTGTATATTCGCAAGTGAAATATACAAACTACAATCTCCATAGCAAACAAAACTATAGCTTTAGAGTGCAATTACTAAAACTATAGCTATAGAGCCTTCCTATTATCTTTGTTATTTCTGAAATTTTCTCCCAATTTCTTATTTTTATTGCTTAGAGCCTAAGAAGTTCAAACATAACAATTATTTTGAGGCAAAATGTCTTTGTATGTATATCATTGTCAATACTATTACTTTTCTCATTCAAATATTTTATTGAATTTTGGTTTGTATAATTAAGGGTGTATATTGATATATCTTATGTCTACAGGTTTATTTGAATTTTTGCTTTGTATAATTAAGGGGGGTTAAGATCTTTAGTTATACGAATGTTATACAACAACAACAACATATCCAGTGAAATCCCACTAGGTGGGGTCTGGGGAGGGTAGAGTGTACGCAAACCTTGCCACTACCTCGTGGAGGTAAATAGGTTGTTTCCGAAAGACCCTCAGCTCAAGTACATCAAATTCAAGTAAAATGAGAGAAAAACAATATATAAAACATAACATCCAATAAAAACGATAGTATATAATCAACAAAGGAGACAATAACATCAATAAAATAATGTGAGAAGTGAAACGCAGTAAACAACATAAGGCTATAGGTATCACAGACAAGAACTGCAAGTGCAAGGCTAGGACTACTACAAACGCTAACAACCCATACCCTTGCAAGGAAAGACAACACGCTAACCCTACTAACCTTCAACCTTAATACGCGACCTCCACTCCTTCCTATCTAGAGTCATGTCCTCGGTAATGTGAAGCTGAGATAAGTCCTGTCTAATCACCTCTCCCCAATACTTCTTAGGCCTACCTCTACCCCTCCGCGTACCTTCTACACCCAACCCCTCACACATCCTCACTGGGGTGTCTGCGCACCGTCTCTTCACATGTCCAAACCATCTTAGTCTCGCTTCCTTCATCTTGTCCACCACAGAGGCCACTCCCACCTTCTCCCGGATAACCTCATTCCTAATCTTATCACTTCTAGTGTGCCTACATATCCATTTCAACATCCCCATCTCCGCAACATGCATTTTTTGCACATATGAGTTCTTGACTGGCCAACACTCCGCTCCATACAACAAGGCTAGTCTAACTACCACTCTGTAAAACTTACATTTAAGTCTAGGTGGAATTTTCTTATCACACAAGACTCCAAAGGCAAACCTCCATTTCATCCAAGCAACCCCAATGCGATGTGTGACATCATCGTCGATGTCGTCACTTCCTTGGATTACAGACCCAAGATACTTAAAACTTTCTTTCTTAGGAATGATCTGTGTGGCAAGTCTCACTTCCACATCTGCCTCATCTAATGCATCACTGAATTTGCACCCTAAATATTCTGTTTTGGTCCTACTCAACCTGAACCCTTTGGACTCCAGCGTTTGTCTCCACACCTCCAACCTCGCATTAACTCTGTCCCGCGTCTCATCAATCAGTACTATGTCATCCGCAAATAACATACACCATGGGACCTTCTCCTGAATAGACCGCGTCAACTCATCCATCACCAAAGCAAATAGAAAAGGGCTAAGGACTGATCCTTGGTGCAGCCCCATCTCAACTGGGAAATGTTTCGAGTCTCCTCCAACCGTTCTAACCCGAGTCTTGGCTCTATTGTACATGTCCTTTATCGCCCTAATATAAATCATTGGGACACCTTTAGCCTCCAAGCACCTCTAGAGGACATTCGTCGGTACTTTGTCATAGGCCTTTTCAAAGTCAATGAACACCATATGTAGGTCTCTCTTCCTTTCTCTATATATTTCTACCAGTCTTCGCATAAGATGAATGGCTTCGGTAGTCGATCGTCCCGGCATGAATCCAAACTGATTCTCAGAAATGGACACCCATCTTCTCACCCTCATCTCCACCACTCTCTCCAAATCTTCATAGTATGGCTTAGCAATTTGATACCCATGTAGTTGTCACAGTTCTGGATATCACTCTTGTTTTATACAACGGAACCATTGTACTCCACCTCCATTCATCAGGCATTTTTGTTGTGTTAAAAATAACATTAAACAGCTCAGTTAACCACTCTATACCTGCCTTGTCCGTGCTCTTCCAAAAATCCACCGGAATCTCATCGGGTCCGGTCGTTATTCCCCTGCTCATCCTACTAATAGCATGTATAATCTCCTCGATCCTAAAACACCTACAATACCCAAAGTCCCGAGGTCTTTCAGAGTGCGCCAAATCACCCAACACAATGTCTCCGCCCCCCTTTTCATTTAAAAGTTTGTGAAAGTATCTTCGCCATCTTTGCTTGATGGAGATCTCATCCACCAATACTTTGCCTTCCTCATCCTTGATACACTTCACTTGGTCCAAGTCGCGAGCCTTCTTCTCTCTTTCTTTTGCGAGCCTATACAATTTCTTATCCCCACCTTTGTCCCCCAGCTCGACATACAAGCGTTCGAAAGCTGTCGTCTTAGCCTTCGTAACTGCTAACTTAGCTTCTGTCTTTGTCGTCTTATAAACTTTCTTAAGCGTCCGCTTCTCTTCCTCGTCTACGCACTCCACCAACTTTGTGTATGCAGCCTTCTTCGCTTCCACTTTGCCTTGGACTTCCCCATTCCACCACCAATCTCCTTTATGGCCTCCAAATTTACCCCTTGATACCCCCAACACCTTTGAAGCAACTTCCCTAATGCAACTAGCTGCTTTATTCCACATGGTGTCCGCATCCCCGCTACCACTCCAAGCCCCCATCCCAATCAACTTCTCACCCATCTCCTGAGAAAGGGCAGGGGTCAAGCCACCCCATTTAATCCTCGGTCGATCGGATACAATCTTCTTCCTCCTATCCCTCTTAATTTCCAGGTCCATCACCAAAAGCTTATGTTGGGTAGTAAGATTTTCACTAGGATAACATTGCAGTCCTTAAAGAGGCCTCTATCACCCTTTCTAAGGAGTAAGTAATCTATCTGAGTCTTAGCTACTGAGCTACGAAAGGTAACCATGTGGTTCTCCTTCTTCGGAAAGCATGAGTTAGCAATCAACAACTCAAAAGCCTTAGCAAAATTTAGAAGCGAAGTTCCACCCCCATTTCTCTTCCCAAAACCAAAGCCTCCATGAACAACATCAAAGCCATCAGAAGTTGCCCAGATATGGCCATTAAAATCTCTACCAATGACAATTTTCTGAGTGTTCGGTATACCTCTAACTACCTCATCCAAATCCTCATAAAAGAGCTTTTTGGCCTCCTCACCCCAGCTCACTTGAGGTGCATAAGCACTAATAACACTCAAAGTACATCTTCTAATGACTAGCTTAATCAACATCAACCTATCATTGATCCTCCTAACCTCCACCACTTGCTCCCTCAAATCTTCGTCTACTAAAATACCCACTCCATTTCTATCCCTTGAGCCTCCTGAGTACCCCAACTTAAACCCGTCGACATCCCGAGCCTTGGAACCTACCCATCTAGTCTTTTGGACACAAGCTATATTTATATTTCTCTTCTTGAGAATTTTCACTAACTCTAAGGACTTCCCCGTCAACGAACCTATGTTCCATGATCCTACCCTCAATTTATGGGAACCCGTAACCCACTTACCATTATTTTCCCTCGTCCTCGGCCTCAACCGAGGACATGATTCAATACCACCATCAGATACCAAATCCACTAGAAAGATACTGAATCTAATGTAAAATCTACACAGGAATACACTTCAAAAAATTCTGCAACAGGTGTATAATCTAAAAGACCAGATAGCAACAACTAAACTATAGGATCAAGTTTAGTGTATTCTCCAAAAGACACGATAGCACAACTATACTATATGCTGAAGCACTGATCTGAACTATAATAGAAAACAAGAAAGTACTGATCTGGAATATATAAGATGGAGCCCTAATCTGAACTAAAATGCCAATCAGAAACAGCCAAAAAAATAAAACAATCCAAATAATCAGAGTGTAATGCACAATGCACAATCAGGTAACCTTAAAAATCTACTCCTATGCTCTTCAAATTATTGAAAGTTGGGTGTAATTACCTACCAAGCAAGATTAAATTACCTAACAAGAAGGGTTTCAAAGTAGAAAACAAAAACACAAAATCTGCAAAAAAGGGCGCAGAAAATAGATTCAGAGCAAGAAAGAAAGGAAGACAGGATAGATAGAACCTGGTCGGTGAAGATGGAGGGCTTCAGTGGTCTTTGGGCAATTTTCCGGCCAGATCTCTTTATGAATGTTATGATGATGTATATTTCGAAAAAAATGAATTGGTATTTTTTTTTTATATTTGTAGAAATTGCATAATGAATAGGTAAGAAATTTCTTTAAAGCAGAGCAAACTGGACTGAAACAACACGAGTTTGGTCACTTTTGTGGGTAGATCCACCCAAAGATCAAGCCCAATTGGACCAACATGTATATTTTTATAATAAAAGGCAAATATTAAAGTTTTCAATATTATTAATGTCAAATTAACTATTTCAAGAAAGTTCCAATCAAGTAAATTCATGCCAAATACATAAATTTATTTGGGATTGTGAGCAATGTTTTTGCTAGACATAACAAAGACTGAAAAGGGACAATTTTTATTAAGACGTGCATAATTTCAATGCTTTTTTTTTTTTTTGAGGCCGGTGGGGATTCGAATCCCCAATACTAGGATGAAGGTGTGGGCAGCTCGCCAACTGAGTGTAGACACAATTTCAATGCATTGTTGACCTTGTCCCTAAGTATAAATTTCTGTATTTTCCCTGAAGAATTGAATGGTAAATCACCAAAGATTACTGCCTTAGGAACCATGTAATCCTGCAACCAATCTTCACAAAACTTGATAATTTCTTCATCAGTCACAAAACACCCTTTTTTCAGCTTCACAAAAGCACAAGGGGTCTCTCCAAGAACATCATCACATCTTGCTACAACTGCAACTTCCAAAACCATAGGATGCCTAATCAAAACACCTTCAATTTCAAGTGTGCTTACAGTTTTCCCCTCAGTTTTGACTACGTCAACAGCGCGATCCTTTAATTTTATATTCCCATTTGCATATTTAATACCAAGATCTTTAGTCCTATACCACCCTCCATCAAAAGCTTCTTCAGTTCTTGATGAATCTTTCAAGTATCCCATCATCACAGCATTGCCTCTAAACATGATTTCCCCTATAGTTTTTCCATCTGCTGGTACACTTTCCATACTCTCTGGATCTTTTACATCAACTTCTTCCATCATAATGTTGTGAACCCCTTCGCGAATTTTCACATCCACGTCTTCTTCATTTAACTTGGATAAATATTCATCTTGACACTTCCAAGGCATCGATATCATTGGACCAAGTGCTTCACTCATACCATATGCATGATTGATAGTAAATCCTAATTTTTCAAGTTTGATCAGAATTTCTGGTTGTGGCAATACCCCTGCTACTGTTACATTCACTTTGTGGGGTAACAGAGGCTGATTTATGCCTATAGCATTAGCAATTTTTGTAAGAATCATTGGTGCACCACAAAAATGTGTCACATTGTGAAGGTAAATTGCATCCAAAATCTCTTTTCCATTGATTTCACTTGGGCAAATATTAGTGCCACCCAAAGCAGCAATTGTCCAGGGGAGACACCATCCATTACATCGAAACATATCCACTGTCCAGAGAAAAACAGGGCTTTTTCCCATTTCGAATCGAAAAATGTCAGCAATTGTATTCAAATAAGCAGCTCTATGGCTATACACAGCTCCTTTAGGCTTCCCTGTTGATCCAGAAGTAAAATTGATCGAAATCGGATCAAATTCATTTTTCGGATACATAATCTTGAAATTAGGAGGCTGCCCCATTTCAAGAAGTGTTTGGTAATCCAGAATCTTTGATGGCCCTGATGATGAAACTGGTGGTTTTTTTACATTGTTACTTTCATGGATTAAGACAATTAGACAAGACTTGTCTTTTTCCTGAAGAATGGTAAGTGCTTGAAGCACTAGTCCAATGCGATCAGAGTATACAAAAATGATTTTGGCCTCTAATTTTTGGAGTTTTTGTGCTAATGTGGTGGCATCTAGCATTGTGTTAAGTGCAGAAAGGACTGCACCAGCCATTGGTACACCAAAATGTAGCTCATATTGTGCTGGTACATTAGGTGCCACTGTTGCCACCTGTTTGTATTAGGATTAATAAGTTTATAAATTAAGCTTGTTATAATTGGTTAACTATGACAAAATAAGCTACAAATAAAAGCGAAGAGAAAAAAGAAAGAAGGTTTGAACTCAGAGTTATAGTTAGAATTTAAAGTTTATAGGTTCAAGATGTCGTTGAAAATCCACTGATCATTTGAGTTAGTAGGTTGAAATGCTTCATTGATTCTTTCTTACTAGTTCAATATTTCCCTATTTAGAGAATTATACGAGTATCTTAGACTCTTTAACAAAAAAATATTAACACATTAATTAGATATTACTTTTCATTTTTAGCCTTTGTAATTATTGTTAAATTACTCTTTAGAATGATTAAATATTGATTATGATACCTACTCCCAGTACTTCAGAGCAGTTAGAGTTTCTTGAACTCATTATCACATAGGAAATCCAAATGAAGGATAAAAATGGAAGAAAAATCTAAAATTATTCTTGAACAAACAAATTAATTTGAACTATGAAAAATGTCTTTAACAATTCACTAGATAAAATAATAGAGAACGTAGGAGTAATATCAATTTGAATTTAGTACTAGCTAGATTTTTTAATTAACACATATGGGGTGAGCCAAAACTATTAGGTTATCCGTAACTTTAGTTGTGCGCCGATCCCCAACGTTAGATCAGAGACATAAAAAAACTAATTATTTATATTCGGTGTTTATATCAAAACTAAATAACACTACAAATAATATGATTCGAGAGAGCCTCCCTACTTCCAAACAATATTTAAGTCCATTGACTTGTTTAGTACTATTGATTAAATTCATGTATCTAGATGTTTTCCTCTGGTCGTAATGCATATCAATTGTACCTAGTCATCAATTTATTTATTTTTCATAATGTGGAATTTATTTATTTTTCATAATGTGGGTCTTTAACACATGGCTTGACAAAGTCAATATATTGTACAATTCCAAATCACTGCCAGCACAGGCTCATGCAGAATGAGGAAAACAAGGTACAGAACTAAGGAGTTTTAATTATAATATAACACTGATATCTGATATAAGAAAAAAAAAATTCGTATCATCATGTGCAGATGTGCTCTGCTCTAAAATATTTTTAAATTTTATGTGAGACGTATTTAATTAATTACAATTTGAGACGAAGACTTGTGGTCTTAGCTCATTTGTTTAATAAAAAAGAATGAAAATAGAGCACTCAAACAGGAAACAAAAAAGTCAAAACGTGTATTCACACCGACACACGATTACTCGTATATTTATCGTTTTTAAAGCATGAAATAGAAATATATACCGTTAGTACTTTTAGTATATATTATAACATATAGTATATATGTGTTTATTACATATATAGTATGTGAGTTAGACAACAAAAAAATTCATCTCTTACATTACTATAGTGTATATTATATGACTTGTTAACTAATCGTTTTTACATGACATTGTGAATTTGTCCCCACTCAGCCCCTAATTTTGACACCATTACGCAAGTTATGAACGTTTTTCCAAAGGAAATATAAGAGCATGAAACTGGAGGGGCCTGTTCTGTCGTTACTTTGTAGTATGAGCACTCAAAATGATTTTGAATATCTAGTAAGTCGACAAAAGATGGTTCGTTATTGGAAAAAGACCTCTCAATATATATTCTTATAATCTTATACAATGACTTACTAATAAAGAAGCTAGTGTAAAATTAGATCTTAAACCTAATTCAAGTTCTACACGCTAGTTCAAAGGATAGAGGATTGTCAAAGATTTATAAGAAGATCACTCGTCTCATTAGTAATTTTCATTCTTTAACACCCACCTCAAAACATTTGATGCGTGGACAACTTAAATTTGGGGATCCAACATCAAGTGAGATAGATACCATGTAAAATTAGGTTCTAGCTAGGTCTAACTCATACCCCAAACACTAGCTCAAATAAGAGAATTGTTCAAATCTGACCACTCATTTCTTTAACCACTGATGTGAACTTTTTCATTCTTTAACATCTAGTTGGTCAAGTCTATGAGATGAATAAATATGAGAGAAGTAGAACCATATACGTAAGTCAAGTCTATCTTCGTAAGAGACATAATTATTAAGCTTATCAACTAAGAATTAAGTGGAGGAATTAAAGATTGTTGTCGATTCTTCTTTTTATTATAAGTGTATATGTAAAA